GGCTATTACATTAGTGATTCCCTTGGCCTTCTTCCTTCTAGATGTTTGGACCTTTTTTTCATTATCACTATCACTGGAGATATCTCCAACTTTTCTCTTGACACTATGACCAGTTGAAAGGTTTGTAGTTGATGCAGCTTCAGAATTGATGTTGGCAGGTGTTTCATTTGTTACATTAATCTCTCCCCTTCGAAGGCTTGTAGTGGACTGAGTATTTGTAGTATCTACATTGGTTCCGTTAGAATTAGAAGTGCCGACATTAATTGCTTCAGAATTGATGTTGGTAGGTGTTTCGCTTGTTACTTTAGTCTTTCCTTTACTCCTACCCCTTTGAAGAGTTATAGTAGGTTGAGTATTTGTAGTATCTACATTGGTTCTATTAGAGTTGGAAGTGCCTGCATTATTTGTTTCAGAATTGATGTTGGTAGGAGTTTCACTTGTTACTTTAGTCTTTCCTTTGCTCCCGCCCCTTCGAAGGGTCGCAGTGGGCTGAGTATTAGTAGTATCTACATTGGTTCTATTAGAGTTAGAAGAAGTTGATGAACCTTCTCCATTATCAACTGCATTTCTTCCAGTTGATGAGCCTTCGGCTATTACATCAGTGATTCCCTTGGCCTTCTTCCTTCTAGATGTTTGAACCTTTTTTTCATTATCACTATCACTGGAGATATCTTCAACTTTTCTCTTGATACTATGACCAGTTGAAAGATTTGCAGTTGATGTAGCTTCAGAATTGATGTTGGCAGGTGTTTCATTTGTTACGTTAATCTTTCCTTTTCTCCCACCCCTTCGAAGGGTTGTAGTAGGTTGAATATTTGTAGTATCTGCATTGGTTCCGTTAGAATTAGAAGTATTGGCATTATTCGTTTCAGAATTGATGTTGGTAGGTGTTTCGCTTGTTACATTAATCTTTCCTTTACTCCTACCCCTTCGAAGAGTTACAATAGGTTGAATATTTGTAGCATCTACATTGGTTCCGTTAGAATTAGAAGTGGTGGCATTATTTGTTTCAGAATTGATGTTGGTAGGTGTTTCGCTTGTTACATTAATCTTTCCTTTACTCCTACCCCTTCGAAGAGTTATAGTAGGTTGAGTATTTGTAGTATCTACATTGGTTCTA